AGGTGGCTATCAAATGATGTGTCAGTACTGTACTCTTACATGAAGATGACGAGAAGATAGGAAGGCCTATCAGATATTTCTCCAGAAAACTGAACATTCATTAACAGAAATATTCCATGATTGAGAAGGATATCCTGAACTTGGTGTTGGTGTTACAATGTTTCAACATTTATATTGCCAGTAATGTGTCTGAGATAATTGTATATACTGATCATAACCCATTAAAGTTTTTGGAGAAATTTAAGGACAAAAATTCCAGGCTGTTTAGATGGAGCTTATTACTGCAGCCATTCAATATGAAAATTATACATGTGGCAGGATGAGAAAACATAACTGCCAATGCGTTGTCGTAACTTGGATGAAGACAGACAGAGGTGTTCAGTGGTAGGAGTAAATGGACTGAAATAGAATGTAGTAGTGAATGCTTGCACGCTTAGAGTCAATGAAGTGTACACGTAAGGTAGTGTACTAATAGACTAAGACTAAAGAGTTTAAAATAAAGTCATCTTTGTATATTGATAATTGTTTTTTAAGGGGGAAGTGTGACAATGATGTTACTTTAAAAAGGTTATTTTGTCCTTGGTTTTTTTTGAAGAGAGGTTGTAAAAGCATAGGTGTTGAAGAGTCTAGGGAGTAACTGTTTAACACTAGAAGGGGAATGGCCAGTTCTCCCAGTTCAGGTTTTTTCTAGTTATTTTTTCAGCTGTAGCAGTCACAAGACGTTTTGAGTACCAGAAGTTTTGCAAGCTTCAGTAAAGGATTCCTCTGAAATCTCTTTCTGGTTGTTGTTCCCTCCTGCCTGTAAGAATCTGTGTTTGAATTTACCTTTTCGCCAAAGGGTGTGTTTATGGGATGTTACTATATTGGAACAGTTAATTAGTTAAGTTGCTGTATTGGGTCGTTTAGGTCTTCTGATAGTTAAGATACTCTAAATTCCACTTTCTTTTGTTCATGTTTCAACGGTGGTGTTTAAATAAATTTTGTCTTGCTTAAAACTGAGTGGTTTGACCAGTTGCATCACACCTGGAACATCCACTTTACATCTGCCTTTAAAAGAAAAAGTTAGGGTCTAGGCTACCTTCTTAAAATATTTTGAGGGGGTCTAGCCTGATCCATAACATAAGTCATTGGCCAATTAAAGTACAAAACAAATCAAAGGGCGTTAAAGTACTATTGTTATAACCTTGAATAACTAAATTAATTCCGCGGTATCAGCACTGGGTCGCACAACATACCAGGCTACTTTTTATACAGACCTCTTCTGTTTCGCTTTTGATCTCCAGAGTCAATCGTTCCTAGCTTGTCTACTTCATTTATTTTGTTCGTAGCTGTTTAATCTAGTATATATTCCTGATGTGGAAGAGAACAGTTTTTAAAAAAAAGGGAATCTTCCATTTAAAACAGAGATGAGGAGAAACTTGTTCTCTCAGGTCATGTCTATGTGGAATTCTCTTCCCAGAGGAAAGTGGAGGCAGTGTCATTAAATACTTTTAAGTTAGAAGTGGATTCTTCACTAACAAAGGAGTCAAGAGCTACATTCACCCAAATACTTTTCCCTCACTTGCATGGTAACAGCTTCCAAAACTGGAAGTCAACGCATCAGCATGCATGCGCAGAATCTCAGAGTGGTTGTCCAACTTGGAAGGAACACAAGGAGCAGAAGGGGAGTTGAGGACACAGTCTGACCAGCCATGATATTATCAAATGGTACAGCAGGCTCAAGAACCAACTGGCCTACTCCTGCTCCTAACTTCTGTTTTCTTTAGTATGGACAGTCCAACAGATCAGGCAGCATCTGTGGATGGAAACACAGACAGTTAACGTATCAGTTCGAGGACCTTTCATTAAAACTGAAAAGGGTTAATGTTCTAACATGTTTGAAATAAGTAGAAGCAAAGAAAGTGGGTGGTGGTGTGGAGAGAAAAAAAAAGAGAAGGTCTATGATAGGGTGGTTAGCAATTAAAAGTTGGAAAATTGTGTAACAAAACTGCGATCATGCAAAGCAAAAGGAAATGGTAATGGGAGAAGAGAAACAAAGGATAGATATTCGCCAGGCCTAACTGTAAATAGCAAAGTCTGTGGGTGGGGTGGGTCTGAGTGGGAATGTCTTCAGATGGGTCAGTGTAGACTCAAATGGACTGAATGGCCTCTATCTGCATTGTAGGGATTCTATTTTGAGAAGACCAATTTGAGAATAGCAAGTACAGTATACTAAAAGTAGTACATGTAAGTTGTTGTTCTACATAGAAGAAATACTTGGGATCTTGGATATTCAAGAGGGAAAAGGTAAAAGTGAATGTTAGATTTCCTGCATTTGGATGGGGAAGCACCACGAGGGGCTGACAAGATGACGGGCATGATGGAAGTACAAACTTTAAAGTAGGCAAACGGAAGCTCAGGTCATGCTTCTTGACTGAATGGAGGTGTTTCAAAGTGTTCATCCAATCTGGGTTTGTTCTCCCTAGTATACTGGGGACTGTGTTGTGAGCAGTATATTAAATTTCAAGTATTATAAATAAACTATTGTTTCAGCTTGAGGAACAATTAGGCCTGTTTACAATAAGAAAGGAGGGGATAAACAGGCAGATGTGGCATCCTCTGTATTTATAAAAAAAGCTACCAGGGGAACAAGGATTTGGGAGGGTGATTGACAAGTGGAGTAAGATGTTATAGAATCAAGACATAAATGGCAGTAATGGTATAACTTTGGATCTCTAGGGATTCAAGCTATAATAAAGGTTGTCATCTTGTACAAAAGAATCCTTTCTCACCAAGATATATGCTGATCTAATCAGGAGGAATAAATAGTCCATCTTACTTCTGTTTGGATGAGCTGAAAGATATTTATCTTTCCTTGACTTCTGTATCTACTCTAGGTGAAATGAGTCAGTTCTTGATGAAGTAATTACAATATCTTGGAATTCACACATCTGTATTCCTTTGGGTAGACGAAAGGCAGGCAAATTCACATTAGCATCATTAACTTCCCAAAATAAAAAGGGAGTTATGTTCTTCCAATTATCAATCACAGTTGCTTATGGGCCTTCTTCACAGCCTTCCAAAAGGAAAAAAAGGTGCAGATGTCTCTTTGCTGCCTCAGCATTCTCAGTTTACAAAAAAGATGTACAATTCAATGAAGATTTTTTTCTTATAAGGGTGACAGCTGACCAATGTGGTGCAACTGAGAGAATTCAGAAGTACTTCAGAGTCTGACCGGAGTGAAGTTTCACCAGACTACACTGAATATAGAGCACCAAAAGAGGACAGACCAACTAGTTTATGCCTCAACACAAGTATCCTATAATTCTAAACTCATTATTGGTAAAATTATCCTATGTAGAAACAGCTTATATTCCTTAGATTTAAGAAGAATAAGAAGTGATCTCATTGAACCATATAATTCTTTTTAAAACAAGGCCTGACAGGGCAGAAACAAGAAGGATATTTCCCTTGACTGGGGGTCTCTAGAACCAGGAGATAGAGTGTCAGGATAACAGGTGGTCAATTTAGGACTGAGACGAGGAGTAATTTATTAATTCATTCAGACGGTGGCAAACTTTGGAATTCCCTAACCCGTAGAGGCTCAGTCATTGAAACAACAAAAAACTGAGATTGCTAGGTTCTTGATTAGTGAGGGGATTAAAGGTTGTATGAAGAAGGCAGGAGAAGGATATCAGCAATGATTGAATTAAAGCTGATGGGCTGAATGGCTTAATTCTGCTCCTGTATCTTACGGTCTTAGGATAGACTTCCAGATATTAGGTATCAAATGATTTGTGATACTGCAGGAATATAGAACTAATTGAGAAGATCAGCCTTAGTATAGTTGAATGACAGAGCAGGCTTCTTGGGCCAAATATTTCCGCCAGTATTCCTATGTTCTTAAATACCTTAAGCAAAAATAGAAATTGCTGGAAAAGCTCAGCAGATCTGGCAGCATCTGTGGAGAGAAATCAGAGTTAACATTCAGCATCTGTGGAGAGAAATCAGAGTTAACATTTCAGGTTGCGTGACCCTTCCTCAGATCTGCTGAGCTTTTCCAGCAATTTCTATTTTTGTTGCTGATTTACAGCATCAGCAGTTCTTTCAGTTTTTTCTTAGATGCTTGTGTGTGTTAGGCCAACTCTTCTACAGACATTATGCTGTTCCAACAGTTAGCTGAGAAATATAATTTCACAATATAAACTGATGGTTCAAATTAGATATAAGAATATGTAATGGTGGATCAGATCACATTGAATGACCTCAGCATCCTGAAGAATGAATTCAAACTTATCATGACAAATATTGCTCCAACTGAATACTCTTCAGCATTTAAGGAGAGTTAACACTTTAGATTTAATTCTTTGAGTACGTTAGTTACCGTTTACTGATTTTTCCTGTAGTTCAATCCTTACAAATATGATTACATTTAAAACCGAGTATTATAGCAGTTATAAAAACTGAGATCAATTTAGACATATCTGATTTTTAAACATCATCTTGGAAGTTAATAATGTCACAAAATAATGAATTTCTTCAGACTGGCAGGATGAACTAAATTAGCAAATGTTTGATTTAAACATTAGCTGCTGTTAAATTTCTGTCACTGGCCTCCAGCAAACAATTCAATTTAGTGCATATATCTCATTTTTATCAGGCTGTAAACAATAAGCAGAAGAGAAAACAAATGGGTGACACATTTAATAGTAATTCTTAATGGCAATTCAATTTTTAAAAAGTTGCTCCATTCAGTCTATAGCTGGTTGAACAAACATTTCACCTTTTGGCAAAATAGAACTGCCCATCCATGGGGACTCACGATTTAAATTTCTACTATATATACTATTTCATATCAAAACAAATTGATGAACAGTGGGTGTGTTAGTGCTCGAATCCAAACCTCCAAGCTCTGAATAATAGTAATTACAGGAGCTGACAAATCTGATTTTTATTTTAGGGGTGGTGATCTTGATTCATGGAAATAGATGAAAAGGAATTAATTAACAAAGCAAACATACTCTTCATCCAGACTAACTGGGTGGCCGAGCAACATTTCAAGGATGCACTCCAGCAGACTCTGTGTTCCTTGGTGGAGATATAGCTGGTTGGCCAACAAAGAAAATCCATGGTTTTTCAAGAACTTCTCCTTTTGTTCCTTTGATGCTCGTGTAAAATATGCATCCAACAACTATCAATAAAACAAATTAAATTCAGTTAGGGAAATGAGATGTATGGAAATAGAAGGAAAGATTTGTCAATATTTAAACTGAATCCAGAAACAACCTGCATTTATATAGCAACTTTAGCAGGGTGAAACATTCAAAGACACTTGAACAAGAACAATATTAATAAAGAGTTTTGGCACTGAGCTAAAGAATCAGATAATCAGGACCAAGATCATCTTAAAAGTGGTATAACATAATTCACGGTAGTGATGGTTAAAGGGTTAAAATGTAGAGTTTTGGTTTCAGTTTAAGATGAGTTAAAGGCTATTCACATTCAGCTAGTTTTATTTAGTTATTTTCAGTTGTGCACTTATAAACAAGGCTTGAATTTTTGACCCAGCTGAAGAAGCTTTTGGCAGCAAGAGAGCTGGAGGTTACTATGGAGATAATCGCTGAGGGGGGAGCATTGCTCTGAGTTAAAAACTGGTTAAAGTTTTAAAAATGGTAATGAAGCGAGGCAGAAGCTGACCTGGAGTTTCAGACATTCAGTCTTATGTACTTAACCAAAGAACTTGGTTCTGCAAGTTGAAGAGTGGAAAGGGTGTATTCTAAAGAAATTGGTAGGGCTAAGTAGCTCTGTAAAGAAACAGGAAGTTCACCTGCAAAACTGACATCAAGGGAGCGTCTATGTGTATATGGTGAGTCATGGCTTATGGCTGTCAGCGACACATTATTGGACCAGGAGGTCAATGATAAATTGTTATGCATCAGTTGATTTGTAATGTTCATCCTTGATTGGAGTTTGGTCCTCAGTAATGGGGAGTACAGATTCCATCAGCAACCAACAGTCCAACAAAAATCACAAAAAGGACGGACGGACAGACAGAGATGTTTAAACTATATTCAGGGTTCTGGACGTCAAGCTGTAATGTTCAGCTCCAGATGCGTCTCCCAAGCTTTATAATCTGTAGACTTAATGGAAAAGACCAATTGGACCAGGAGGTTAAATTGGCAAAAGTATGTAACTGGTAAAAATAAATACCACATAGTGTGAAACGTGGCCTGCACAGAAGAGTTGGAACAAAAGGAAACTGCCTTCCAGCATATGAAAAATGTTTAAAACTCACCAGGGTGAAAGTCAAAAGAAAAAAAAACAATAAAATAAAATTCCAGTTCTGAAAAAGGGTCACTGGACTTGAAACATTAAACTTTGCTTACTCTCTACAAATGCTGCGAGACTTGCTGAGTTTCTCTGATAATTTCTGGTTTGGTATAGCCAAATCTGTTGAATTTACTTTAAACTAGAAGTTTGTATTGCCTAGAATCATTATCCCACTTTCGTGCTCCTAGTCATGACTGCTTCTGTTTGTGTTGTTAAAGTTTGTGTTGTAAGGACTTTTTTTTTGCCTTCCAACTTAATCCTGGAGTCTTCTACTAATTTTCTTACCCTTGGCTTTTCTGCACACATTGCATTCTTAAAATTATTACAGTCTATCAAACCAGGCCTTAGGTATCACGCTTGTCCAACTTTCTCATAACTCAGAAGGAAGCGGAAGAGTGGTGAAGAGGCCTAGGGAGAAATTCTGGAGTTCAGAACCAAAGCAACAGAAATCAGGAAGCAATTTAAATAAGCGCTGTGCAAAATGCTAAAAATAGTTCAGTGATCTCAAAAGCTTGTATGACTCTAGAAATTAGAGATAGGAGGAATGAGCTATGCTTTTAAAAATAAAGATGAGGATTTTAAATTTGATTGGCACCACATCCACAAGCGTTCACTCCCCCGTCACTGATGCTCAGTAGTAGCACTGTGCACTGCAGAAATTCACCAAAGATCCTCAGGCAGCACCTTCCAAACTCACGACTACTTTCATCTGGAAGGAATTAGGCAGCAGATACATAGGAATACCACCAGCTTGGAAGTTCCCTTCCAAGCCACTCACCATCCTGACTTGGAAATATATTGCTGTTCCTTCACTGTTGCAGAGTCAAAATCCTGGAATTCTCTCCCTAACAGCATTGTGAGTCAACCTACAGCATGTGGCCTGCAGCGATTCAAGAAGGCAGCTCATCACAAACTTCAACGGTAACTAGGGACAGGCAAAAATGCTGACCAGCCAGCAACATCCACATCCCATGAGTGAATAAAAAGGTGGCATTGTTGGACCTGGATCCAGTGTAGGTCAAAGTACCAGAGTGACAGTAACTGAAACTTGGTGTGAGTTAATATGTGGACAACAAGGTTTTGAATGAGCACAGGTTTATGACAGTGGAAGGCAGGGACCAACTTAGAGAGAATCTGAATAGAAGTAACAATGCCTAGAGGAATAATAGTGTAAATGAGTGTCTCAACAGCTGATGAACAGGGTTGGGCGATGTGGAAGTAGTGAGTCTTGGCACAGCAGATATGTTGTCAGCTACTGATCTCAGGATCAAATAGGACAGCAAGATTATGAATAATCTTAAAGCTTCAGACAGAAGCAGAGGGAGCAACAGCTATGTGATCAGTGAACAATTTATGCTAAGAACTAAAGATCTCCTCAGTGTTTCCAACATTTATTTGAAGGAAAATTCTGCTCAGACAATACTTGATGTCAAATAAGCAACATGACAAATCACAGACAGTGGGTGAGTCAAGAGAGGTGTGTGACAATGTAAACTTCACAACTTTAATAACTTCATGAATTGAAGGAATCAGCAATAACTCCATCTGGAGAAAACCACTTCTTGAGACGAAAGGGATAAGGAGAAGCTGTTGTAAAGGAATCAAAATCAATACGCAAATTAACCATCTTGGGAAGGAACAACATAAACGAGCTGAGACAACAAGGTGCAGGGCTGGATGAACACAGCAGGCCAAGCAGCATCATAGGAGCAGAGAGGCTGACGTTTCGGGCCTAGACCCTTCATCAGAAAAGGGGGAGGGGAAGGGGGTTTTGAA